GCTCACTAAGTACAAACACTGGAAGGGAGATATCATTACCCAGGCCTAATTTATTTCTTCAAGGAGTCCTGTGAGTGGCTGTTTACTGGTTGTATGAGAATAAATACTCACCTGGCAGAGAATTTCCAAGGACTATTAGTATTTGGAGTTGACAGTCTGGGTGAAATGTTTCTTCTTTTTTTTTAAGGCACACATATTTTTCTCACCTTTTGATATTCTGGTGACGTACTGTGAGCTTCTGTGTCAGGAGCAATCATGCAGTGGAATTTTTGTGTCAAAAGCTTGGCAACCCTTTTGTGGATATGATAGCCAGCCTGGTGATATTTCTCCCTCAAGCAGGATATATTGTCATTATAACTACAGTACATCCACACAAGGCTGTCATGTGAATGCCTTTTAATGAATCCAAGGCTGTCACAATGTACTCTATGTGGTAATCAGGGGGGATTGTGTTGGGGGCTGCATGTTCTGTTATGAGCAGCTAAACTGTTCCTGCAGCTTACTACGGGTTCATTTGTTTCTTGAAGTGAAGGGAATTTGGCCCTGTGTCTTTTACCCAAATGTGACCGCTGGACCGGTTGTGTTCATTTGTCACAAACTGCTAATGCCCCGACTATACATTAGCTAGCTAACCAGCGAGCAATGGTGCACTGACTGAACTCATGAGAAGTGTTTCCACCCAGTCTCTCTTGTTATTCCTCTGGTTTTTGAAGCAGATTCATATTTGGGATATGTATGAATTTATGAAGCTGAAACGTGTATTGCATTACCTTTTGCAAATTTCTATTGACTTTTTAATCGTATGTCCCCAAAATTTTCTTTGGTTTTGTGAACATTTTCATTTTTTAACTTAAAGGACCAGTGTGGGGATTTAGTGGCATCTAGCGGTGAAGTTGCAGACTGCAACCATTTGAATACAGCGCAGCTTTCCAAGTGTGTAGGGGGCCTGTAGGGGTAGCGTGAAAGACCCTATCTTAAGCCAGTGTTTGGTTTGTCTGTTCTGGTCTAGTGTAGAAACATAGTGATGAAAATACAACCATTCTGACTTTCAGGGGATTATACACTAATGAAAATGTGCAATACTTTATTCCATTTCTGCCATTAAATCCTCCTAAATGTTACACACTGGACCTTTAGGTGATTGTGCACCTCTCACACAAGGATACCACCTTCCCTTTCATGGCTCGCTATTCTTCTCAACACAAAACTGTGAGAGGGTTGAGAGCAGTAATGCCACTCTCTACCTGATCATGTATTATTTTTATTTCAACCCTGTTTTAGCCACAAAAATTACATGTTCATCATTTGTCTAACATCATAATGGCCAAAAAGAGAACATAATGACAGATATTGATGATAAGATTAAATCACCCTTATATAAATGCAGTAAATGTCAGTTCATGCCTTAAACTAACACAAAAAAAGCTGCAGTGGTAGCATGTGGCAGGTACAGTGACCATTACTTAATCCACAGGAGTCCACCTAAGTTGCAGAGTTAAAAAAGCCAAGGCATTTCATTATTCATGGGGTTACAGACGTAGGCTATTACTTATACATTAGAGTCTTAGCTTGTTCTTTTTCAGCTACGAACATTTCATTATTTAAGAAGACAAGTGCAGAGCAGTGCAGAGACCTATGGTAATGTTTTAAAGATCACAGGAATGAGTTAGTTTTTATCAGCTCTAAATATTAATTTCTCTCTCATAGGTGTGCACTGATTTTAGGTTTAACACCGCTGGACATCAAAAGAACATTATTTTTTAATAAATAAATTTAATTTGGAATGGTTTTTGCTATTAAAGCAATACAACAGTACATAAAACAATTGTTTTGCACTCTGTTAGTACCTCGTATTTTGTTGAGATCAGGCCATTCAAGGAAACCAGTACAATCCATTAAGAGTCCAGTACACTGGTCTTAAAGGACTATATTGTTCTCTTTCATATCATAAATGAATCAATCTTTTGTTTTCTTATATCACTTGACAGTGCAGATGCCACCGTATTTGATAACAGCAGAAGAAACTTTGTGGAATCAGAGGAAACCTATTCCTCAGGGCGCAGAGTGCCATCCTAACATGGCATTGGCAGCTGTTTGGGATTAGCCAGAGGATTTCAGTAGACCCAAATATGACACTTACAAACGCACGCACGCACACACACACACACACACACACACACACACACACACACACACACACACACACACACAGTCTTACATACTTGTTTATACTGCCAGCCTGCCAGACCCAACTGTTTCTATGGACATTTTCAGAACATGCAATAAAGGCTGATAGAAGAAGATTATTCAAGTATTTCTTGACGTTGTGGTACTTGGCTTCTGTTTCTACTACAGACAAAACTTTCATGTCTCGCTGCCACAAACTGTTAATGCCTTTGATCCACCAGAAAGTCTGAAAAAACAGATTCTCCTCTCAGTCTCCTACGGATGATAAATCCACCAGCTATATGGTATTTAAGGTGCAAAGCAGCAATGGAATTTATTGATATATCACAGTTACTAGTGCTCCATTAATTGTGAAATGGCAAGTTTCTTGAAAAATGTTCATTGGGCCCTCTTCTGGGCCCGTCTCTCACACAGCACTTGCCTCATTGTTGCTTTGGACAAAAACATCCATTACTAAAATATTGGACAAAGTGAAATTTGGATGATGGTGCAAGATGAAAGGTCAGTGGATCACCAAAGTTATTACAATTTGTCCTGAGGGAGACATGAATGTCTGTACCCAATTTCGCAGCAATCCTTCTTATAGTTGCAGAGACATCTCACTCTAAAGCTCAAATGTCAACCCGCTGCGCTAGAAAAAAGTCAGGGGATCTCCAAAGTCATTAGGATTCATTGTCTGAGAACTGTTAATATCTCTACGAAATTTCATTACAATCCATTCAGTAGCTATATGGAGATATTTGCCTGTGGCCTAAAGTGATGGACGGACCATTTGACTTGACGTTGCCAAAATAACTGTGGCAGGGAAGATTGAACTGAGCTGCAGATCTGATTTTAAAGGTTTACTTTTTTGTATCTGGTGGCTAACTGTACTGAAGCAGGCTATAGTGGTCGTGTTTTTCATATGATTATATACTTTATCACGTCTACCTTTTCTTTTTTTTGCAAACAGAAGCAGCTCTTGTTGATAACGTAACATGGTTAGTCATCGCCTGTGTCACAACCCGAGGCTGAACGAAGAAGGGAAGAACACACATAAGTTGTAACTAAAAATAGGTTTATTTTACATAACTAAAAGAGAAATGAAGCTAAAACCAAACTAAATTCAACCCAACCAAACAGGGTGGAAGCCAAGGGGAGAGAGGGAGAGAGGGAGAGAGGGAGGGGGAGATGCTGATGATCTGACTCCACCCACCAGACTCTTGGAGGGTCGTCACCAAACAATGCTGCACCACTTTCCCATTGTTGAGTGTTTTATGATGTTGCTTGCTTTGTTGTGTGATTTTCACTCTACTGCTGGCCCACATTTGTCACTGCTTCATCCTGATTATTTGGTTTCTTTCCTGTCAAAAAAAGAGCTATGTTTACTCACCTAGAACACATCATATACACATTATGTATAATGTCAATCGGACTATGAACAGGTCTCTATTCACATCTAACAGATGTCTATTCCTGCTGACAACCATGTGTCACGTTGAAAACATAGTTCTACCTCTACTCTCCAGTGACTCACTCACATAGGCAATATGACTACTCTAACCTGTTAACATGGGCGCATATAAAAAACAAGAGGATCAGCAACGCACACACTGTACTGTAAAAAAAAAGAAGAAGAAAACTCGAGGTAACTTCAATACATTTTTGAGTTTTAAGTCAAACTCTTAAGTTTTGGAAATAAACTAAAAGTAAGGATAATTTACTCTATAATTAAAATAATTAATATTTAAGTTTTTCAGAAAAAATAAATCTATTTCATAGTTAAATATATATAATTTAATATTTTCAACTGCAATTATTTAATTTTCAAGCGCAAAAATAATGAAAAAAACAGTAAGTTAAAAAGTAAAATACAGAATTTTCTGTTTTTATAAAGAAGAAAAGTAAATTATTTCAACACAAGATTAAACATCAACAAAACTTCACTGAAAAAGTCAGACTAAAAAATTTAGTGAAGACAGTTTTGTAAGAAATTATGAGTTTTCACAGATTCTTCTTTTACAGTGTGCACACATAGACAGTGTGTCCCGGCTGTAATGCTGACGGGTAAAACACAAATAAGGGAGACACTTAACTATTGTGTTAATTACTAGTCTTGCTGTATTGGAGAGGTTGAAGATTAAGTGCTCAAGGTAATATTGTCAGTCGCTGGTGATGTCTCCACTTTCCATGCAAAAGAGAAAAATGTTGATTATTATCTGTTCAGATTCGTGTTAATACGAGACACATTTCCTGCGGTCATGCTCATTAGTTGCTGTTTTGCATTCTATGTGCTTATACATGCATGTAAGATTACGAGTATTTGCGCATGCTGTTGTGTTGATGCAAAGCTATTTGTGACAATCCCCCATACCATGACACTCAAGGTGGGCTACATTTCTGAATGCTTGGCTCTGACACAAAAACAAACAAAGCTGTCACGTCCAAGCAATTCAGCTCTGTACAAAAGATGTTTTCCTGGCGGTGCCACACAATGCTCCTCTCGTCAATACAGAACATGCTGTGTTACCTAGAAGATGAAAAATATAGGCCCTTCTCTTTGTGTCTGTCTGGCCGTGAAATTTCTCTTTTAAATTTTCAGTTATTCACATTACATCAAAGTTGCACGCACTTGAGCCTGTTTGACTTTCTGCTGCATTGTTACCGTCATTTAATTTGAGTGAACAATTGGGCTTGGAAAGTATTTGTTTTTAATGGCATTTTTGCAATTCTAAATAGAGTCGGGATGGCAGCTTCGGCGAGTTATTTTGCTTTGAAGTTTTTCCGCTTTCAAAAATAAATTTCCTCTTTGTTCCCTCTGTTTCCACACACAGACTCTGAAGTCATCTACAGAAACAGCGACGGCCATGTCATCAAGTTCAACATCCTTACAAATGAAACAGAGATTGTCCTGACAAACACAACATTTGTAAGTACATATTAGTCTGTCATACTGTAAATTAATGATTAAGATTCATCACAATATCAGTGTCATCATAATGATTGTCTTTACCTCTCTGTCTTTCTTTCTTTCTCATTTCCACTAGATAAATTTCAACGTGGCCAAGTATTCCGTCTCCCCTGATCTGAAATATGTACTCTTCGCATATGATGTGAAACAAGTAAGTTTCCTAACAACACCAGTGCCATGAATGTGGAGTCATTTTGTGACTTAAACTATACACTGTTGTATGGAGTATTGTAGTGTGAGCACACAGTGGGCTCGGTTTGCCACCGGTGGGCAAAAGCTCAGATCCTTTTCTTAAGTAAAAGCACAAAAGTACTACTACTCATGCAGAGTAATAAGCTAGCATATTATAGAAAACAAACAAGAATGACTGACAGCTTCCAGTATGAGGAGATCAACATGAGGAGTTCTATTGTGCCTTAAACAAACAAACACAAAAGTAATGAGTGTGAAATGTTCAATGACCAAAGGATTCCTCTCACAGTGCAGAATCAGCTATCAGCTCCAGCAACATAGCCAAAGCTACAGATAGTGCAAAGTACTGTTGGTAGATAGATAGATTCTTTATTTTCCTTTTCAGGAAGTTTGTTGCCACAGTCTGTTCATACATGTATATACATAACATTACCACAGGATAGACATTTAGACACAGCACGGACATCTGAACACAACACAGGTAATACGGCTACCGGGGAGTTTTGTTGAGTAATGCCTTGCAGGAGGGACAAAACTTCTGCCAAAGCGAACTTGTTGATGGATAGTTTTGCACAGAACCTGGTAAGGAAGAAACTCTCGTTTTAAGGGGCTGATCACACAGAGACGCAGCGCAACAGGCGTGGCCGCTTCCAAAATGCCTCGGCAAAGAGCGGCTGGTGCGCCTGGGGAGCGGAGCTGCATGCACAACTGGGCGATCACATATTATCACATAAAAAAGTGGATTCAAGAAGACCTATTTACTGGCAAAAGTAAGACAATTAAACTGAACCTTTTAAATTTTGCTTTTGAGTTTCAGTTCTAAGTTCTCTTAATTCCACTTCAAGTTGTAGTAATTTATAATTTCATATTGTAGCCACTCATAATCCTTCTTTCTGTTAACTGAGTTCCAAATTTTAGTAACTTACTATTTCACATTGTAACAACTTTGAATTCTAGTAGTTTTATGTATTAATAATTCACATCATTCCTGTCACTCTCATCTTGCATTAACTTGGTTGTAAGAAATGGCACCCCGGGGTTATAAAGACAAACCCCTGCTTAAATAAATTGTCAGGATTGAATAAATATCTACACCACAGTCCTCCAGTGCTTGATCAAATCTGATGAGGGCCCAGGTCAGGGGGCGATTAAAATTCCATTGTGGCCCCTGTATAGCTGGCAGGTCACATTCATTCACTAATAGAGAAGCGGGGTAAGCTTGAACCATAATTACCAGCTTTCCATCAGAAAAGAGTAGATGCAAAATGAGATATGCAAATTGCACCCTCCACTCTGGAAGGGATCAACTGTAAGGATTAGTGACAAGGCGATTAATCAGAACTGATTTGCATATTTTGCATGAAGCGTTAGACTTACAATTTAGAACAATATGGCCAATAGCTACAAACCCAGTTTATTTTTAACACAAGGTTATATTGAAGGAAGAAGTTAATAGAAATTTGTAATGTTGGTTTAGGTTTTTTTAAGCTCTAATAATGAAAAAATAAAGAATGTGTAAAATTACAATTACCTTACAGGCTTAAGATGTAATCATTTGTAATTGGAGGAGATATTTTGAGTATGGATCAGTTTAATTGTTAGAAGAACAGAGAGCTTTAATCAGAGAGAGAGAAAACAAAACAGCTGTAATATCGCCATTGCCCACCACCAGACTCCAGACAAAAAAACACTATCTTCACCTTGCAGATCATTGCAACATCATCACATAATTCAACTTGAACAGAGACAAAATAAAACTCACCAAGACCATCTGTGTTAGTCTTTCCAACAGTTAGTCTGGTTAATATAAATCCTTAATTCACCGACGCGGATGAGAACAGCAGTTTCAGTTGCTCTACCTAGCCTCTACAGAGCAGACCAGCTATGTAAACAAACCACAGAGAAGCTGTGATAGCAACACTGCTCAGGACACCATGACTCCACTATATCTCTACAAAGCTAAAAGTTGTTTGGTGCTATATTAATTTAGTTTAGTTTAAATCTCATATGACCTTAATTCACCTTTTAAAACTGTGCTTTTACTGACTCTTTCCATTATGTCGTGTGATTTTTGGCCTGAAAAATGAAAAGCTTTCTGACTTGTCATGTGTTAAAGACTCAAGGCTAAAGTTGGACTCAATCCAAAACAAAGCAGCTCTGGCTTCTACATTACATTAGTATATCGATTTCATTACAGTGGAATGCTACCCATTCTTTACTGTATGTATTTATGTAACTATGTTTGCTGTCTACCTGGCAGCATGGTGTGAAACAACAGCCTTGAGCTTGACACCTCTGTGATTAAGAGTAATAACAGGAGTTCCTCCAAGAAAAATAAATTACTTTTCTAATAGGTTCATCTCCGGTGCACTGAATGAAATAAAACATTCATTAATGTTTTTTGCCCATTTCCAGAACCTTGGCAGAGATGTTACAGTGAGACAGAGTTACTTGTTTTTTTACATTTAATATTTTTAGTTCATGTTATGAAGAAATAAGAGTGCAGAATAAAAAAATAGTTTCCTTGTGCTTCAACTGCTCGACCAAAGATATAGAAATGTAATGTCCATATACAGTAGTTTTATTGTACGTGTGCACATCCAAATCCACAGTGCATGTATGAAATTACACAATGTGGAAAACACTTGACCATGGGAAGAAACAGAGATGTGGCACAGTGTGTCCAAGATAAAGAGACAGACTATCTTTGGCAGGCTCAGCTGATGGAGGAGAGGAGGCAGATAATCACCTGGAAGGCAGGAGGCTCCATCAGGCTCACAGGCCTCAGGTAGCGGGACATCAGTCAGGAGCAGGGACAGAAAGCAGATCACTGCCTCTTTTGTAGTTGCGTCTTATGATGGTACATCTGTTTTTGTCTACCATAAAACATAAATATAGACACAGAAAAACGTCAGTGGCTTTTGTTAATAGAATTTCTTCTCACATTTCAAGCGCACGTGGTTCAGATGAAAGCGAGGTGTTTAAAGAAAGAGACAGGCATTATTTTAAATTTTTAGTACTGTTAAGAAATCACATAAAAAGACCTAACAATTTCTTTTCTCTCAATACTTTTTGACTACCCTGTCTGACTGTGGCATTCAGGCCCAACCCTGTTAATTCCTGCTGAAGATGTAACTTTTAAAACTGGCCGCAAATATATATGATTTTATTTTTAGAAAAGGTGTGCTGAGCACTGTGGTTTTTAAGAAATGTTACTCAAACAGGAGTACACTGTGCATTACACATCTGGTGCTGTATTTACAGCAGCAGGACAGTGTATGAGGGTTGTGAGCTTATGGGGATGCACAGAAACTGGGTCAGTCTCACACAGACTTTAAACATCACCTGTGACATCACTGTAAATGTGTGAGTGCAGTAAGGTGTGTGGGCTCCAGACACTGTGAGATATGAGACCCGGACAAAGATATTTCTGTAGACAGTGAAGTGTGAAGTTGATATTTCAGACTAGATGCAGCATATAAAGTGGAATGATGTACTTCTGTGTTTTACCTTAAAATAAGGTCTGTTGTACCAAATCAACATAAATTGAAGTCACCATCATAAGACAAACAAATACACACACAGTGGTGGTGAACAACATGTGTGCTTTGCTGCTGCCCCCTACCCTGTTTGGTTTGCTGTTGTTTTTTTGAATGCACAATTCTACTGACATTGAACTACACAACGTTGTGTATCATTGGTTTTTCCCTTGAGCAAAGTCTATAAAGTTGTGTTCTGTAAAGTATGGAGAAAGGGCTCAAACCAGACACCAGACACTTGCTGATTTCACAGTGGGACAGACCCGTGGGTGTATTAATGGAGGCGGATATGGCAGTGGCACTCAGCCTTGCTGACAATTTATCCCAGTGGCCAACAGCTATATTGCAACAAAAAAAATCCCATGCGCCCCGAAATACATTTTCCCAACGAGCACCATTATAAAACATCTGTAAAACTGCTGATAGGACACACAGGTAATAGTTATTACTGTATTATGAATTTTTAATCCATGAAAGTTTCCTATTTGTATCCCAGAGACCAGAAAAATTATTTTAAAGTGCACAACATCCCAATCTAAAGTTTATGGGTTAAGTGTCATATGCAGAATGCTGAACAACACGGAAACCTTATGGTCTGAGAGTGTGGTATCGACCCAGCCAACATCTGTATGCGGGATCCATGTGGGTATTAGATGGGCTGAAAAATGGCCCCATGTCAATTGCCCACTCTCGCTTTAGGTAGGATTACACTAGGTGTTAGGTGGGATGCAACTGGACATTTGGCAACCCAGATGGGCCCCATTTGTGTTGCTTATGCTCTCATTTCCAATTAGTGACCCAACTAGGACCCGCATAGAGAGCCCACATGGGTTCGCCCATCCATGAACAGCCCTGTGAGTACATATGGGACATTTGAACTGGGCCATTGACTCAGAATGAACTGAAGTGTGTGTGTTTTCATGGTGAAGAAGGAATATGTCACCCAGTGCAACAGGGTGTTTTTAAATGTTTTTGGACAACTACAGAGCTCCATGGCACAGATATAGATATATATAAGATATATCAGGCTCTGGATACACACACAGACCTACCATTAGATAATAGAAATACCTGTTGAGAGTCTTTCCCTGTTTAAACGCAATGCATACTGGGACACATTCCAGCTGAAAATGAGTTTACAATTTAAAGTTGTTGTGTTAACGAATCTCTAACTCTAACTAAAGCTGACAGTTCAGCTATGAATATGCACAGTTGATCGACTTCTCTGATGACACCTGTGAGATGTGTGAGTTGTTCATGTTGTCTGTGTAATTACGATGTTTTAGTACTGTCTGTACGGACGCTCCTGACAGCAGTGAAAATAGCTGACAACAGTATGTTACTTATGAACAAGGCTTAGCCAGAGATACAAAGGAGGGCAAAATGTGCTGAATGTTTAATCCCCCCAGAGCATCACAGG